TCAAACCAGCAGATCAGAAATATTTATTCTTCTTAACCTGTACTATAAAAATATTGTTGAAGTAGGCTTTGCAGTAAAGGTTCATTGACATAAGCATAGATGAACGCATAAGAACAACAAGCAGGATATAGAAAGGTAAGTTGCAGTAGTGTGGTTTGACTAAAATAGAAGGTTAATTTATATGAATTAATATAGAAAACAGAGGTCAGCTATTGTAAGTCATTAATCACAGATTGATGAGCATCCATCATTGTTTGTAGGATAGAAAGCCATTCATTCATTTAACAGATACTACTAATTACCTACTATGTGACAGTAAATGTTCTGGGCACAAAAGCTAAAGGAAGAAAAAAAAATTGCCCTAATGGATCTTATCTCTTAGTGGGAGAAAATTGTCAATGAGCCAAGTGAATAAATTATATAATATCAACAGGGTTTATGGATATGAAGTAGAGAAAGGGCAATGGAATATCACAGTAGTTACAGATTTAAATAGGATAGTAAAGAAAAGCCTAACTTTGAAGGTTTCATTTCAGCTAACATATAAATGCCAGTAAAAGTTCCAGGTGGAGTAAAAAATCGTGGAAAGAAACCAAAATGAGAATAATCTTGGTATGTTAGAGGAGCCTCAAGAAGTCCAGTGCTGGTGCATCAGTATAAGGACTTGGATAGGGATAGGGCGAGTAGTAGCAGATAAGATCTGAACATACAGAGGCTTATAGGTCACTGCTTACAAGGACAGCAGGTTTACTCAGAGTGAGATGGGCTGCTAGTAGAGAATTCTAAGAAGAGACGTGAGCTGACTTCTATTTCACAGCAGTCCCTCTGGTTGCTGTGCAGAGAACAAAATGAGGGTTGGCAGAGCAGGGCAGAAGCAGAGATACCAATTTGGACTCTGTCACAGTAATCTAAATAAGTAATTTTGAGAGCTTGTATCAGCATGGTACTGGTGAAGGTCGTGCTAAGTAGTCTAATTGTGGATATATAATTTAAAAGTCAAGCTAACAGAATGTACAGCTTTTAGAATGTGGATATTTTCAAGATAACTGTGCAATACACTTCTTGGTTAGCAGTAGGTTCATAGCTGATTTATTTGTAATCAAATAGGAAGGAAGTGCTGAACTTTTAAAATACTAGAATGAGAGAAGAAAAAGACAGATGGCAAACACTGTACATGAAGAAAGATGGGGTGTGGGTGACTAAAAATGTACAGAGAGAGAAAGAGTAAAAAAGAAGATATAAGGAGAGAGGAAATGAAACCATATGAGCAAAGAAGGGAAAGTAAATCAAATAATCTTTTACACTTTCTTTACAATACCTACAATAACAACCATGAAGTCCAGCTTGTACCAGCCATTAGAGAAATAGGCTTTAAAACCATAAGCCATCCACTTCAGAAGCATTTCCAGAATAAAGATGTAAGTGAAGATCATGTCAGCATATTCTAACAAAATTTTAATAGTCTTTCTCTGATCAATATATATATCCTCAAAAGCCTGTGGATAAAAAATTTAAGAATTAGGTGTACACGTAATTTCTAAAAACTCTTTCAACATAGAAGGGAATGAAATCCCATCTCTAAAAGCACATGGCGAGCACTGTCATGGGCTGGCTCACTTTACTTGGTAATTGACAAAACACAAATTCTCTGATTCCATGTCTATAGCAGAAACATTAATTGATCCCAGAAATTCTTACAGAGACTAATCTCAGCTTTGTCACTGTTTTGATATTCCCCTAAAATCAGTTCATCAATCTATTAAGATCAAAAACTAATCGATGGCAGTCAAAGTAGACAGGCTGGCTGCCCACGTGGAATGGGAGGTAACGCTGAAGGGTGAGAATATTGCTCTGGAGTCCTGCTAACGTTCTGTTTCTCAGTGTAAGTAACAGTTATGTAGGCACACTCATTTTATAAAGTCCTACATGCTGTATGTATACACCCATGGACAGTTTTCAGTATGTGTGGTTAGTAATATAAAGTTTATTTTAAAACACGTACAGCACACTGTGCTTCCCGACCATGACCCCATCGTCTCTGTTCACAGCATCTCACAGTTAACTAGTTCTTGCGTATGCTATTCTGAGCTTCTTTAATCAATGAAAACAAATACCGACATACAGCCAATCTATTATTCTGCCTTTCCTACATAAAATGCAGAATGTTATGCATTTTATTCTGGACCATTTTTTTTCTCATTTATTACCATATCTTGGAGAATTATAATATCACTATGCAGATAGCTTCTGCATTTCAAAATTCTTCAGCAAATAACTTCGTAAATGCATTTAAGAAATGTCCAGATATTTGTAGGATAATTTTCCACAAGTAATATAGTTGGTCAAAGGCTAGAAACATTTACAGTTTAAAAGGCCTTGAAAGTATATGCAACAACTCTTCTCTTTCCTTATTGAATAGGTACCAAAGTACAAGCACAATACAGCAGTTCTGGTGTCCACATCATTCAACTGTTTCACAAACAGAACTTCATCAAAGTCAGAGGAATCAGATATACGTTAACACTTCCCTTTCCAACTATTGATCATATATTTCAAAATTATATTATTTATTTAAGAGGTATATTTCAATTCAATACCCATATTAAATTTCATGTTGAATGATGCACAGGCAGACTTTCTGAGAAAGTTTAACATTTAGTTTCTGAAGCTAAAATCACAGTATACAGAATTTAATGCTATACTATGTATTCTTGGCAAAGTTATCTGGCTGGGGACTTTGTGAATTAACAGAATGATGAAACATTCGTTTCCCTAAAAGCATCACACACCCCAGCTGCGCACTTACTAGAGCGCCTGTGCTGAGCAGAGTGACGAGGCCGATAAAACACTTGAACCATTCATTCTCTACTATTTTGCTGCAGGTTTTCCTGATGTTCTGCCACATTTTTCCTTTCTTGGATTCTCTACTGATTTGACCAAGTGAAGATGTCCGTCTGTCATCTGCCAGGAAAGGCACTGTTAAGAACATCTATGGTTTATCTTACAAGGGTATAAGTGATTCTTTCTAAAAGTAGATTATAAATGTCTTAACACAATAACTAAGAAAATGACATGAAGGCTATGTTAGCCAGTTTGATGAAAATATTTCTTTTTTTTTTTTTTT